CTAGGGGGTTATCAATTTTGTTTATTCCTTCAAAGAACCAGCTTTTAGTTTCATTGATCTGTTCTACTGTTTCTTTGTTTGTTTCTGTATTGTTTATTTCTGCTCTAATCTTTATTATTTCCCTTCTTCTATTTGCTTCTCCTTTTCTAGCTCCTTTAGGTGTAAGGTTAGGTTGAATATTTGGAACCTTTCTTAAAAGCTTCTTGAGATTAGGCCTGAACTGCAGTGTACTTTCCTCTTAGGACTGCCTTTGCTGCATCCCAAAAGGTTTGGACTGTCGTATTTTCATTTTCATTTGTGTCCATGTATTTTTTTATTGCTTCTTTAATTTCCTGGTTAACCATTCATTCTTTACTAGGATGTCCAAATATTTTCATGTGGCTGAATTCAAGTTTCATAGCGTTGTGAGCTGAAAATATGCATGGTATGATTTCAGTCATTTTATACCTATTGAGGGCTGACTTGTGACCCAGGTTGTGATCAGTTTTGGAGAATGTTCCATGTGCACTTGAGAAGATATTATTCTGCTGCTTTAAGGTGAATGTTCTGAATAGATCTGTTAAGTCCATCCAGTCCAGTGAGTCATTAAGAGCTGTTGTTTCCTTTTTTTATTTTCTGCTTAGATGATCTGTCCATTGTTGTAAGTGGAATATTAAATCTCCTACTATTATGGTATTATTACCACTGAGTCTCTTTATGTTTGTGATTAATTGCTTTATATATTTGGGTGCTTTCAAGTTGGGGGCATAAATATTTACAATTGTTGGATCTTCTTGATGGATAGATCCCTTAATTATGATAATGTCCTTCCTCATCTCTTGGTACAGTCTTTGTTTTAAAATCTAGTTTGTCTGATATAAATATGGCTAGTCTGGCTTTCCTTTGGCCTCCTTTAGCATGATAAATGGTTCTCCATCTAGATAGATAGATAGATAGATAGATAGATAGATAGATAGATAGATAGAGGTTCTCCATCCCCCTACTTTCAATCTGCAGGTGTTCTTAGGTCTAAAATGAGTCTCTTGTATGCAGCATATGGATGGATCTTGTTTTTTTAATCCATTCTGCTACCCTGTGTATTTTGATTGGAGCCTTTTGTCTGTTTGCATTCAGATTGATTGTTGAAAGATAGGAATTTAGTGTCATTCTGTTATCTGTAGATCTGATGTTTCTGGTGATGTTCTCTGATCCTTTTTAGTCTTTGCTGCTTTGGTCTTTTTTTTTTTTCTCCACTCAGAAAGTCCCCCTTAAATTTTCTTGTGGGACTGGTTTAGTGGTCATGAACTCCTTTAGTTTTTGCTTCTGTGGGAAAGTCTTTATCTCTCCTTCTATTCTGAATGACAGCCTTGCTGGATAAAGGATTCTTGGCTTCATATTTTTCCTATTCAGTACATTGAATATTTCCTGCTAGTCCCTTCTGGGTTGCCAAGTTTCAGCGGATAGGTCTGCTACTACCCTTATGTGTCTATCCTTGTTAGTTAAGGATCCTTTGTCCCTAGATACTTTGAGAAATCTCCCTTTTTCCTTGTATTTTGTGAGTTTCATTATGATATGCTATGGTATTGACCTGTTTTTGTTGATTTTAAGGGAGTTTTCTGTGCCTCTTGTACTTGGATGTCTGTTTCCTTCCCCAGATTAGGGATGTTCTCAGCTATAATTTGTTCAAATAAACCTTCTGCTCCTTTCCCCACTCTTCCTCTTCTAGTACTCCTATGATATGGACATTATTTCATTTCATGCAATTGCTTAGTTCTCTAAGTCTCCCCTCATGATTTGGTAACTTCCTTTCCCTCTTTTTTTCAGCTTCATTATTTTCCATAATTTTATCTTCTGTTTCACCTATTCCCTCCTCTGCTTCTTCATTTCATGCTGTCACTATATCTAGTTTATTTTGTATCTCAGTTACATTTTAAATTCATCCTGACATTAAAATATTTTTAAAACTAAAGTTTTCTGAATGCAAGTATTATAGAAAACATGAATATCTTATAAAAAATGATTTCAGTCTTTCCTGTTACGTGAATAAACATTTTAAAATGATCGTGCTCTGAGCTTAAATATTTTAAATCCCAAAGGATTTATTTTTTAATTTGTATTTATTTACGTAATCCTTTATCCAATATGGGATTTGAACTCATGACCCTGAGATCAAGAGTCACATGCTCCTCTAACTGAGCCAGCCAGATGCCCCTAAATCCCAAAGGATTTAAATTCTTACAAGGGTTATAAGATATTTTGATGTTCTGATGAATTGCATATGCTTCAATGAAATTTTGAAAAAGCTGTTTTTTTTATACACTAAGAAATGCTAGACAAATACTTGAAGACCATTTTAACTGCTTCTAAGTTAAAAGTGGCTTTCTTGGGCACCTTGGTGGCTTAGTCGGTTAAGCGTCTGACTTTGGCACAGGTCCTGATCTCGCAGTTTGCAAGTTTGAGTCTCTCTTTGGGTTCTATGCTGACAGCCCAGAGTTTGGAGCCTGCTTCAGATTCTGTGTCTCCCTCTCTATCTGCCCTTCCCCGCCCCCACACACATACATACATACACACACACTTTCTTTCTCTCAAAAAAACGAATAAACATTAAAAAATTTTTTTTAAATAAAGTGGCTTTCTCATTTTATTTTTTAGTGATGACATCTTTTAAAACTAATAATAGATACAATATTAAAAACAATCTGGGCCAGATTATTCACATCATAACTGAAAACACAGAAGACTTTACCAAAACTGTGTATCAGACACTAAGGCCCTTTATCCTGCAGGTCATTGACTATATCGGGCAAGAAATCATGACCATGCAGAGGCCTTTCCGATGTACCTGCTGTTATTTCTGTTGTCCCTTCACTAGGCAAGAGGTCAGAGAACACAAGTCTAATTCCTTGTTTCTTTCTGATCTGACTCTTCACAGCATCGTTTTGCTCCTTCCAGAATGACACACGAGGGTGTTTTCACTGGCTCTGCTGGTAAGAATGAAAGAAGAGAGCAGGAAGGGGCCGGCCGGCGGAGATGTCAAATTGTGTCACCTGAAGAAAATCACAGAGGGTTTTTTTCTTGTGGCTTTTGTCTTCTGGTGCTAGTTGGAGGGTCAGACTCAGATAAGGGTTGTTTACTTGGTGACCAATTCTGTTGGTTGTGTCTACTGAATTAGAAATGTGTCTGTTACCCAGAACAGAAGTCACACACATTTGTCTAAATGTACCAACATAACCCCAGATAAGGTGTCCCTAGACATAATTGTATACTTTCAGAATTGGAAGAGACTTAAAAACTTCTTTTTTTAATGTTTATTTTTGAGAGAGAGAGAGACTGAGTGTGAGCAGGGGTGGGCTGAGAGAAGGGGAGACACAGAATCCAAAGCAGGCTCCAGGCTCTGAGCTGTCAGCACAGAGCCCGATGAGAGGCTCAAACTCACGAACCACGAGAACATGACCTGAGCTGAAGACTGACGCTTAACCGACTGAACCACCCAGGTGCCCCTAGAACTGGAAGAGACTTCAGATAACTGTACACTGTCCATCCCAATCCACACCTTGCCACAGATAAAGAAAGGGTGGCTCAGGAAATTAAGCACCTGATGAGCGTGTTACAGTCCACCAAGTACTGGAACTGGAAAGCAGATGTTCTGAGTTACAGCTGGGTTCCTCTTCTACAACCTGTGAGGCTCTAGGAAGGTTGTTTGCTGCAGGGAAAAGAAGCAGCTTTAGACAGAGGTCAACCAGAATCTTGAATTCTAGATACGCCTTCTATTTATGTTGGTATAATTTATTTAACTTCTTTGGGCCTCAGTACTTCCATATATAACTATGCATAATATCCCATGGGATTACTGGGATATATAAAGACAGATTATGTTCAGTACCAGCACTTCCTGAATGTTAGTTTATTTACAAGCCTTTCTGTGTTTTGATGTCCTATAACATGGAGATGATAATGGTACCATCACGTAGGATTGCTTTGAGGATTAAATAGTAAATGAATGTTAACTGTCGTTACAGTACCTGGCAGGTAGTACAGTGCTCAGAGAATGTTAGTTTTTGTTCCCAGGTATCTTCTCTCTCTACTGTGTTTGTAATAATAGCCTTAATTTTTTTTTTTAACATTTATTTATTTTTGAGAGAGAGAGAGACAGAGCATGAACAGGGGAGGGTCAGAGAGAGGGAGACACAGAATCTGAAACAGGCTCCAGGCTCTGAGCTGTCAGCACAGAGCCCGACGCAGGGCTTGAACTCACGGACTACAAGATCATGACCTGAGCCAAAGTCGGCCACTTAACCAACTGAGCCACCCAGGCACCCTGTAATAACAGCCTTAAATTTGAGATGAATCTTCACCTTTAATCCTCAGTCCTTTTGAAGATACAAGGAATTCTTCATATTTATGACTTTTTTCCTCAAATCCTATAATGCAGCCTTCCAAGATTACAGTAAGCCATGATGTGGTAAAGCTCATCAAAATTAGAAAATACTCAATTTATGGAACATTTATCCAATGATAGATTTGTTTTTTTCTCATTTCTCCAGTTGTACTTGTATTCGTGTGTGTGTGCGTGTGTGTGTGTGTGTGTGTGTGTGTGTGTGTGTGCACGCGCGCACGTTTTTAGTCCTGGGAGGTTTGATCACCTGTATAGATTCCTTTTTCTACTGCCAAGATACAGATACCTGACAGTTCCTTCACCACAAAAATCCTCTTCATAACCACACCCACCATAGAATTAGAGAAGGAACTTTAGTCCTCCTCTGTGTCCTGAAGGAAGGTGTGACCTCATCCCTTAAGGTTGCTCCCTGCAAAGTCAACCCTGACAAATGGTCAAGGGAAAGAGTGGTCAAGGCCTTGCGTTGTTGGCACGCACAGTGAGAAGGGGGGGAGTACGAGAGGCCCACGGAGGACTATCTTGCCCAGCAGTAATTTCCCTAGTCCTTGAAGGGCTTAGAGCACATCTAGGTGGTGTGTACATGAGTACATGTCTATGTCGTTTCCTCCCCTCTGCCCATTTGCAGCTGGAAATGCAGTGGCCTCCTGGTGTCACCGCTGGCTTTGCACTGGAGCACTGGAACCCGTGCAGGATGCTTTATAGCATCCAAAGCAAGAAGAAAGAAAAAGTGATGGGAGTGCGTGGGCCACGTTCAACCCATGGCTGGGGTTCAGATTCTGCTTTTGAGGTAACCTAATATTAAAATGTTTTCAGAGTGTTTTCTACATGGACTAACCAACCTCAGAATGATCTTGTTTCAGTACACTTTTCCATGTAAGTGAAATGAGGTTTGCAAAATCACGTATAAATACAGCAGTATGAAATATTTAAAATACTATTTAAGGAGACTCGAAGGTATACAGCATAGTACTCTGTCCCAAATGTAAAATAAGCAAATACAGAATTAGAGTGTGAAACTCAAAAAGCATTGATACAAAATAATTGCAGATTCATCATGTTGCACATATGGACCACATCATGAGACAGGTATCTACTAATCTCATTTTTCAGAGACAAAGCTGAAATTTATCAGGAGTTAATAGGAAGGGGATTGGGTGCTGAGGAATTTCTTCCCTCTGATGTAATTGCAATGCAGGGAGTCAGAAAGAAAGAGACATGAGAGCTCCTGGAAGAGGGAAGCAGAGCAGGTGGAATTAGCTGAAACGAGAGCTGTCGAGCTAATGAGTCTCAAAAGTCCCCAACAGAAGCCTGGTGAGGCAGCCTGCTGTCCTACCCACGTTCTCCCAGTTTCCCGAGTAGTCTGGTGGTCAGTGGCCACTGGTGTGTGTGGTGGGGGCAGGAGACGGTGCTGGGTCTGGGATGACCTCGATGCATCCACTCTTGAGGTAAACACTACCTCCAATGTACTCAACCATGTGTATATCTTAGAGGATTTTTCCGTGTAACGTTTTCTGGATTCTAAGGAACCAAAATGCGTGTACGTTAATAGAATACACTTGCAACGCAAATGATTTGCACTGGAAATCTATATACATGTATAGCTTAAAAAAGAAACAACAGATAAATAGCAGGTTCTAAACACATATTCTGTAATTAGCTAGCTTCATGGTAGTCCCTTACATTTTCTTGCAGTTCTTAGTTCTGTTGCTTCTCAACAAAGGAGCCAGTCGCGCAAAGGCATATCATTTTGATATGTATAGTTGCTAAGTTTACCTCAAGATTTAATTCCAGGCCAGAAGGATATGCATCTGGGCAAATTTAGAGAAGAAACATCCTAATCATGGAATAGTTGGAATAATGTAACCAGTGATCTATAGCAGCAGTGATGACTGAGGTGATGCTAATGATGATAAGAGCAACTGTCCTTTCCAGTGATCCTACCTTCTAGGCATGGTTCTGGTCCTAACTACTTTCCACATGTTAACTCATTTAATTCGTATAACAAACCCATTAGATAGATACTATGATAATACCCCTTTTAGGGGTGGCTGGGTGGCTCAGTTGGTTAATCGTCCGACTCTTAATTTTGGCTCTGCTCACAGTGCTTGGTGTATTCTCTCTCTCTCTCTCTCTCTCTCTCTCTCTCTCTCTCTCTCTCTTTCTCTCAAAATAAATAAATTAATATTTAAAAAATATAATTCCCCTTTTAGAGATGAGAAAACTGAGGTTAGATATCTCGTGCAAAGTCACTCACAAAACCATTATGTGAAAGTGTCTCCAGAGGCTACACCCTAAACCACTATGCCTTGTGTCGTCTTTCATCTGTGGGGTATTTAGTTTCTTTCTGTGTAAACACAGGAGATCAGAAATGGAGTAAAATGGTGGCAGGTTACTTCACGCACTCTCAGGTTTAGAACCATGAGGCTGAGCCCATGAGGCTCCGAGGACGGCTTGTCTGCGGGTGTGCTCTCTCTGACAGGCTTGCTCTTGCTTCTGCTGGTGTCCCATGATGTAACCAATGGAAGACCATGTGTTATATTATTCTTCCAATTTGGAGATTCCCAAGTCATGTGTGTGTTTTGAATATAAACCCCTAAATGATGAGGGCACATCTTGATGTATGAGTTCTCAGTGATCAAATATTCCCTGCCAAAATCTCTAAGTATTGAAATCTCTATGTAAGCTTGGAAAAGAAATAAAAAATAAATAGCAAGTTCTAAACACGTGTTCTGTAATTAGACAGTGTAATGGTTGCCCATTAAATTTCCTGCGGTTCTTCGATTTGGCCCTGCAGGCCAAAACAGTCGAGGTTTTTTTTAATCCTTGTTGTCTAGTCTACCCTTTATACTGGGTTGTCTCCCTTTGAGGGTTCCCACCTTATTGGAGATCAGTGATAGAGTACACAACACCCGCTGCTCAGGCCCAAGGCCCCACCACTGCCCTGCCATGATTGGAGAAATCAAATCCCCTGGCTAAAGGAGGATTGGCACCTCTCAGAAGCCAAAGACGTGTCAGCCTCTGTGTAATACGCAGGATTTTCAGATTTTTCCCTTTAGCTCCACTGATTACTAGAACTTTTCTAGGAGCTTGACTTTGCATGTCAGTAGGTTTTAATTATATTTTCATTAGCACTTTTAGGTTTGCACATTATCTACTTTGCAACCTTGCCAGAACTGGAAGTGATAAAATTGTTAAAAAGGTGCACAGATTTTAGTGTCAAGAACATAAGACAGAATGTTCAAACACCAATGTAACAGTTAAAATAATTTTCTTCATGTGAATTATTAACGGCTGGCAATAGCTAAAAAGACACTTCCTCGTTTTCTATTTGAGATGACATATGTGATGTTTCTGCCCTGTGGAATTCGTATGGAATTCCGATCCTCTGGAGATGTTTGTTTCCGTTAATGTTTGACTAGGTAAAACCTCATTCAATAAATGTTACGGTAACTGTTTTACATTCCGAGGCACAGAAAAATTTATTTTGGAAAAAATGCTGAAACCATGTTTTTCCTGAAAGTTTCAAGAGTGTGTTTGCTAAGTTGTCGTAGCTAACACTCATTGAACGCTGTTTCTGTTTTGTTAAAAATAAAACAGATTTAGAAAATAAACAATGTTAGAGACTCTTATTTGTGCAAGGATAGGGAGATGAGGGATGCCATAGAGAATAATTAAAATGACAAAATACTTACATAGTTTTATAAATTTATTGCTGCTAGCTGCCTTTTGCCCTCCTCACCATAAAACTAAAACAAGCCTTAAAAGGGACAGTACTAGCTTATAGCTTCTTTATTAAAAAATACTTTTATTAAAATATACTCATTTTGATATATATCTGTATCTATATATCTATTCTCATGAATGTTACTGTGACCCTAAACTGCTCTGAAAAATAGTCTATTAAAAACAAAATTCCTAGAGGCCTCATAAGGGATATAAATGAGCGAGGAAGAATTACCAGGAACTGCTGCAAACTGGAGACTACAGATGGTATTTAAAGAGGGACCCAGATATTTAGCATAAGCAAATTGACTCACCCAGAGTGAGGTTTACATGGACAGACTGCCTTTCTGGGGAGGCTAGGTTATGCTGTGATGACAAACAACACCAAAGTCTTAGTGACTTATAAGAAAACAAAAAGTTCTCTTCTTTTTTTCAACTTTTTCTTTCAATATTTACTTTAGAGAGAGAGAGAGAGAGAGAGAGAACACGCATGTGCGCGTGAGTGGGGGAGGGGCAGAGAGAGAGGGAGACACAGAATCTGAACAGGCTCCGGGCTCTGAGCTGTCAGCACAGAGCCCGACGCGGGGCTGGAACTCACGGACCAGGAGATCATGACCTGAGCCAAAGTAAGCACTTAACCGACTGAGCCACTCAGGCGTCCCTGTTTGTTCCTTTCTTACCCTGTGTGTCCAAGGGCAAGTTATCAGAACACCTCTGCTCATCACAGTCTCTCAAGGACTTGTGCTAGTACAAATTCTATCTTGACCTAATCTTATGTAAGTGCTAAGAAGACATGGGGAAGTGCACATGGCAACTTGCACACTGGTTCTTAAGTTTTCTGCCTGAAAGTGGAACATCTCACTTGGAGTCACAGTTCATTGGTCAGTGCAAGCCATGTAGAAACAACCAACTTCAAATGAGCAGAAAGATGCAATCTTAGAATATTTTTGGAAGGAAAGGAAAGAGTTTGTAAATAGCACTAATGATGACTTGGCAAATGTCCTGGTTTTTAATTTTTGTTTTATTTTTCTTCAAAACAACCTGCAATACAGAATGTTATGTGAAATTGATATATTAATGTGGGCAACTAGTTACATTTTTAAGACAGCATCTTCAGGGGCGCCTGGGTGGCTTGGTCAGTTGAGAGACTGACCTCGGCTCAAGTCATGATCTCACAGTTGGTGAGTTCGAGCTCCATGTCAGGCTCTGTGTTTACAGCTCGGAGCCTGGAGCCTGCTTCAGATTCTGTGTCTCCCTCTCTCTCTGCCCTTCCGTGCTCACACTCTGTCTCTCTCAAAAATAAATAAACATTAAAAAAATTAAAAAAAGAAACAGCATCTTTACATTAATGATGCTTGCTGGCTTCTAATTTGTCATTTTTATCAACTAACATCTTAAGTAGAAATTAGGGTAAATCTACCAGCTTCATAAAGGCAGTGGAAGGCCCTAGGGATAAGGGAAATGGAAGACATACAGTGGAGTTGCTTAGTTGAACATAGGCAGGGGTATCAAAAATATATTTTTACTTACTTCACAATTTGCCCGCCCTGAATGGTTAAAATTAAAAAGACTGAAAAAACCAAGTGTTAGTGAAAGTGTGGAGCAACTGGAACTCTCACAAATTGTTTCAACCACTTTGGAAAGTCATTTGTAAGTATTAATAAAACCAGATATATAAGTACTCTGTGATTCAGCTACTTAACTTTTAGGTAGATGCTTAAGAAAAATAAGTACAAATGTTTACCAAAGGTTATATTCAGTGTTTCTAGCAACTGTATTCATAGCCCCAAATGCAGAGATCCCAAAATGTGCATCAATAGGAGAATAGATTTAAAAAAAACATTTTTTTTAATGTTTATTCAGTTTTGAGAGACAGAGAGCAAGCAGGGGTGGGGCAGAGAGAGAGGGAGACACAGAATCCGAAGCAGGCTCCAGGCTCCAAGCTGTTAGCACAGAGCCCGACTTGGAGCTCGAACTCACAAGCTATGAGATCATGACCTGAGCCGAAGTCAGACGCCTAACTGACTGAGCCACCCAGGCGCCCCTAGGAGAATAGATTTTTTT